GATTTTTTAAATTGTAAATTTTGGCAATAAAGGTCTAGATTTTCGGTTAGATAATGTAATCTTACTATACATGAACATCAACATCTGGCTTGATTGATCAAATCGTGGGCTGGACATCCATGTTCGTCTTGCTCTTTGTCAAGTTGAATTAATGAATCATGTAAACTAGAAAATCTCTACCAGCAACACGGTTGTGTAGTGGTTAAAATCTTTGCATTTTACTTGAGGTCACAAATTCAAATCTCACTGAAAACATGAAACTCAACACTTTGTGAGTGTTTTTTGGACTGGTTGTTGGCAGTTTATATTCAGTTAAGGTTTAGCTCATCAATGTGTTATTGAGGTTGTAGTGATCAAGTTGGTTTTTGTTTTAAAGTCATGGTATATCCAGACTAGTCCATAATGTTTTGTTGAGTTAGGGTTTAACTCATTAGTATGTGGTTGAGATTGTAATGACCAAGTTGAGTTTCGTTCCACAAGTTATGATATAGTTGGGCGTAAGAAAAATTCTGTAGCGATAAGGCTTCCTTAGCCTAAGTAGCTGCAATAGGCCAAAAAAAATCTGACCTAGCCTTTGTATATGTTGGATAAAAAAAAAAAAGATAACCTCTTAATTGAGAGAAACCTAGATGGGGCATGTGTTGAGGGGAAACATGATGGTGAACTGAAAAAAGTTAAACTGGAGAACCCAAATATTATAACACATTTCTAAAATGATGATGTAATATGGTTTTCGTTTGCAATTAAAATTATTGAATTTAGGAAATTTTTGCAATTTACTTTTTCCTATCATAACTTTTAAAAGCTTCTTATTTAGAAGTCATTTGCTACCGTAACTTTTATTTAGTTTCCTATATTGATTTTTAGAATATTTTCTTTAATGTGTTTGCCTGTATAAGAGTAGCTTTTGTTAGGGTTTATGGTGGTTATGATTATTGCAATAAAAAATTGTTGGAGTTGGAGATCTAAAGTCTGGTATTCACTCTTTATCCATGTTCTTCGTCTCTCTTCAGTTACATTTTCTTTATCTAGTTCTTTTTGTTGTCTATATATTTTCCTCATTTGCATCCTGCCCTATATCAGTCTTTATCAACCTGTATCAACTGTCCTACTCCACAGGAAATGAAGGCTTTGCTATTTTTCTTTCCTTCTTGAAAACATAAGTTAGCAATATTGGCATAAAAGGTTGTCAAGGATCGTTGCCTAATGATTTATTTATTTATTTCCTTAGAAGAAAAAACTTTCTTTCATAAGTCACCAAGGAACTGCCTCTACATATAAAAAAAAAAAAAAAAAAAAAATTCTGAGAAGAGTTTGTTAAAATTTAAATGATGACAACTAAGTCTTGCTCACAAGGGAGGGAATGACCTGTAAATAAAATATAAAGGATCTGAAACCAAATTTCTGATCCTATGGAAAGAAGTGGACTTTACCTTAAAAAGTGCTTATATATTTCAATTTCCAAATTACCCAACTCTGCATTCATCCACTAGCCACCCAGCTAACGTTAAGAAAATCCAGAGAAGCATTCTAATGAAGCCTGTAATATGACCTGACCAATGCTTTGCTTGCATTTATCTTATACAGTCGGAGTTACTGTTTATCCATTCTTTTCATTTTTGATTTTCTCTAGTGTAGTTGAAAGTTGCTATTTAGTTGTTGCATGTTATCTTTAGATGAATGGTTTGTCTATTTTATGACCTTCCTATTTTTGTTCTGGTTGAATATACAGTGTTTTAATACTGATGTTACATGTCATAATTCTTTGTGGTGATTTCCCAGCTGAAACTGTAATCTACAGAATATTTTATTACATGAATAGATCAGGAAATGGCCGTCTTACTCTCAGGGAGCTGAAACGTGGGAACCTTATTGCTGCAATGCAACATGCTGAAGAGGAAGAGGACATCAACAAAGTTCTTAGGTTAGCTTATCTCTTTACATGAAATATCTTTTTAAATTCTGCCTTTTAAGGAGCTTTCTCTTCATCTGCTAAACCTGTATACAACTGCATAATTATAAAACTATGGGATTGACTTGATAAGGTCAGCTGACTTGTGTCTGAAACTACTGGACTTACATATAGCACATAGATAATATTTTTCTTATTTGTAGCAATAGCATCATGGTTTGAAGAAATTGATGAAAGCATTTTTAGTAATGATGTGAGTTATGTAGTTTGCATTTTCCTCCTGACATTCAGGTACTTCTCCTATGAGCATTTCTATGTTATATACTGCAAGTTTTGGGAGCTTGATACCGATCATGACTTTTTGATTGATAAAGAGAACCTCGTCAGATATGGTAATCATGCCCTTACCTATAGGATTGTTGACAGAATATTCTCACAGGTACATGATTCACTCTGTGCCTTTCGCCCAAATTATGTGTTAAACGATCTGGTTATTTGAAATGGAAATTTCTTTTTTTGAACGAGTATTTCACTGTTCTTTTATATATGCTTCATGTCCATCTCAGATTCCAAGGAAGTTTACCAGCGGAGTTGAAGGGAAAATGGGTTATGAAGATTTTGTGTACTTCATGCTATCAGAGGAGGACAAATCATCTGAGCCCAGTCTCGAATACTGGTATCTATATCTATTTGTTTTTCCATTTCTCTCATTGCAAAAACTGAATACAGGATTGTATTCTTTCCTGCATAAGAATGAAGAAAAGGACACCTAGCTTATTTAATTTGTAAACATATCTTAAATACATCGAAAGATGTTGGGATTACAAATTAGTATATATTTGCTTGCAGTCCTCGATCAAAACCAACCCCCTACGCCTGTGAATGGATTTTATCTTTTTACTTAAGAAAATATATGTAGTTCGTGGTTTGATATGCTGTTAGAAGGATGTTATTGTTTGGAAAATCAAGGTAAATTTGATATCATGAAAGGATTTACATATTTGCATTTATCATAAGCTAAGCAGAGCAATTTTCTTGAAAGCATGTGTTGGAGTTTAGTCAAGGCGCCTAGCAAAAGCTCTTCCTTTCAACAATTTTCAATTAAAAATTTTCATTATTGATAGCTATGAAACATCAAGAGAGTTGTCCTTGCAGGTTTAAGTGCATTGATTTGGATGGAAATGGGGTGATTACATCAAATGAAATGCAATTCTTCTACGAAGAGCAGGTTCATCGTATGGAATGCATGGCCCAAGAACCTGTCTTATTTGAAGATATACTGTGTCAAATAATTGACATGATTGCACCAGAGGTAAAGCCTGGTTCATCTGTCAGGAACTTTATCCAATTCTACTTTTTTGGCATGAATCAACTTTCTGTTATGACTTTGCTTTCAGAGGGAAGACTATATCACACTACGTGATCTGAAAGGATCCAAGCTATCAGGAAATGTTTTTAATATTCTTTTCAACCTCAATAAGTTTATGGCATTTGAAACTCGTGACCCATTTCTCATCCGCCAGGTACATTCAGTATCCTGCTTCTATTTTTGGCCATTGCATGGTTATTTATTGCTTGCCATTTTGCTAGCTTGATAATTTGGAACCGAAATGGTATCATTTCCATTTTGGTCTGAGCAGGAACGTGAGGATCCAACTTTGACGGAGTGGGACCGCTTTGCACACAGAGAATATATTAGGCTGTCCATGGAAGAAGATGTGGAAGATCTCTCAAATGGAAGTGCAGAGGTTTGGGATGAATCATTGGAAGCTCCTTTTTAGTTGATTGAGGTGAGATTTGTGAGACTTTGACAAATAATGAACTTGTTGAAAAATATGCAAATTCTGTCTAGTTACTTATTCTTGTGGGGTTAAATCTATGTTTCGAATAAATCTAAAATTTTTCTGTTTAATCCATACTTAGTTCAATTAAAGATGGTAAAAATTCTTCCAAAATTGAAAAAATTTGAACTCATGAATTTCATGTGCAATGACAATTAATTCAAAATTCTATCATTTAAAATGCATTGTTGCATCGCAGATGGAATTCTTTGAGAGCACAGTTTCTTTTCTCATTCTAATAAAATTTACAGTTCTCCTACTTGAACAAGTGTAGATTCGCAAATAAATCCTGTGATTTTTGGATTTGTTTCAATATCAACAGATTGTACATTATGGTATTGGACCCTTTTGAGAGGACCATAAATCTCAGATTAAGCATGAAGTTAGTTGGGTAGTTTTTAATGTTTAATTTGATGGTGATATATTTGCTTCAGGAAGAGGAATAAAATATATATTCTGTATAAGTAACTATTATTGTAGAGTTTTAGTGTTGGCAGGAACTTATCTGCCTACATCAACATGTTATGGATAAGTTGAACAGGATTGAATATGGCGCCCTTCCTCTCCTTCATTAACTAAACCATATAACTTCTTCATGTGCATAAAATGGCTGTGGAAGATACAAAGTACAAGAATATAAGAATTTTCTGTATTTGCGGTGTTGTCCATTGTTGTCAGTTTTCTGATAGCTAACTTCTTGTGGGCTTCTCTGTTTCTGCAGCAATCCATAAAAGGGCACTCTGTTCTTCCCCCAGTTTTGGGCATGGCATGATAAGAACTGGTTACTTGGCAAAAGATAGATTGAAACTCACTGGTAGATGAGATCCTTATTGGCAATGAATTCCAAGCATGATCATGTTTTCAGTAGGCAATTATTTTGGCAATAGATTGCCTTGTTGCGTTAAATTCATTTTCAGGAGTCCTAGGCAAAATTCTGAGGAATGGCCAATTACTTGGCATAGGAGTGAAGAGTATTGCTAGTTGCTCTGCTCAAAGAGAAAGATGTTGGCTGGTAGGTGCTTTATTACCATCCAGGTAATCGGTAAACCCTCTACAGTAGCTGAATATTTACCGAAAGTCAGCTTCTTCTCTGTTTGTAGAATTCTTGCTTCTGCATGCCTTTGCTTTATATGCCAAAGGTCGGCATGACTGTCCCGGGGTTTGTTCAGTGGTCGGATGCTGTCATAGTTGCTGTCCTTTCAGTTTTTCTGTCTAGTTTCTATGTGCTTAATATGTTCTTTTATTGGATTTATTAGGGAAAAAGATGAAACTGTGAGGAAAAAAAATAGTATAAGTGTAGTAATTTACAGGTCCAATAAGAGTTTTGTTCATAAGTCGCTCTTTTCATCTCAAGTCTCTGTTCCTTTGAACCCGGGCTCAAGTTGAGCATGCCTTTGGGCTGATTCCATGATCAACTCATAGCTGAATATGCCATAGTTGAAGTCTCTTGTTCTGAATCAATTGTGGCCATCCTCTTTCCATTAAGATTTAACTGGGACGAAGGTATATATATATATATATATATTCTTTTATTTGTAAATAAATCTTTTATTCCATTTATTCACACTAAATTCTTAAATTTAAAAAGAAAAAAATTATTACTCTTAAATTAGTTTATAGATTCTAACTGAATGGTTTTTATCTTGCATAATTTTCTGGGAATTCTTGTAGAGCGTAAAAAAGAGATTCAATTCAATTCAAGTCTCTAAACTCAGCATCATCATATATGTGGTATGGTCTATAATATGTTTAATTTCAAGACAAATTTACTCTGGGAGTGATATTATTGTTTGAATAATCTTAAATTTGTAAATAAAGTTTTAAAAATCTAGATTTACAAATAAAAATTGATCTTAAATCTAAATTTAAGAACTTGCTTCAAAGTCTTATCATGGAAGTTATTTGTTGCCAACATTCAAAATTCAGGGCGTCTGGTGTGGAAGTTACGGAAAACACCAGTATTAGGAAATCGTTGCTCGGTGGTCTGTATTATCATTTGGCCTGCCGCTTCTGAACGCACGTACGTTTGACTTTCGGAGATGATGTTTAAATATTATTATGCGAAAAAGTTCCCTCTGTTTTTCTCTAAATTGTAGGTCGGCCAAGGTTGGTGAATAGGTGATTAGAGGTTTGTTTGGTACCGAGAGTATTGTGTGAAATGATTAAAGTATTTATATTATATTTAAAATTTGTGAGTTCTTAAATTATTATAAGTCATTGTTTAAAATTAAAAATTTAATTTATTAGTGTATAAATAAAATTATTATAATTAAATTAAATTTATAACGAGCGCAGTTAAACTCTTTTATTTATAATAATTACTATGGTTAAAACTGATCTAGCTTTCTAAAGTACCAGAGACGTTGATTTGGTTACAAAAACCTACTTTGAGGTTTACTTGTTGGATACAAAAAATTAAGCAAAGTTGTTAAAAAATAAAATCAATGTTTGTACGCTTACTGTTATTATTAATTTGGAATAAAAATTCATATATTTTTTTTCTTTTTTAACTAAGCAAAACAAAACAATTTCGTGGAAGGACAATTACCCAGGACATCATTGAAATTTGGTGTGTGTGATTAAGGTAGACTCAGACTCATCGTCCATGGTAACCAATTTTTGAGTACGCCACTTAAACTACCTACGGTATGCTCTGCCCTTGAAACTTACGAAGTAATACGACTCGAGGAATACCCGGTCTTGGTTAAATTTAAATTTAATAGCACAAATAATTTCAACTATTATTTTTTTATCGTAATAATAATAATAATAATATATTATTTATATTAAATACTTATAAATAATAAATTAAGATTAATTAAACCATATATTACATTTAAAATAAATTAAATTCCAAATTTAATCACTACAAAATATTAAATTGTATAATAATATTAAATATTTATTTTCTAACAGTTTAGTTTTGTACAGAGATAGACACCAAGACAAGAGACGTATTCTCTGATATCAAAACTTGCTCTGTTCTCCGGGGTACTAAATTTGACCTCTCCACGAACGCAGGGCAAGTTTAATTTTCTGAATTTATTTCGTATTTTATCAAATTTGCGAATAATCTTGCCTTGTATCATCTAGCAGAAATATGTTGAAAAGATTTGCTTCCTCTCTTTGTCTAAAACTGAAATGCCCTACAAAAGCCGCGTGCTCTCTCTTGCTTCTACCACAAGTAAAAACAGGAAAAGAGTGCTCAAGCAAGACCTGTTGATTGTAAGTAAATGAGCTTCAAGGGAGCCTCTGTGAATGAGAGAAATTAGAGAGAGAAAGTTGATGAGAGAGAGGGACAACCAAACAGAGCAAGATTATGCAAGCCTCTGTTTTGCTGTTTTCCGGAAGGCAGTTTTTGGAGAAAGAAGAAGTACGCATTTTTTATTTCTTGCTTGTATATATAGGAATGCAAATAGAAGCAGATTACTTCAACTAACTGATCAAATCAGAAAGCCCGAAATTTATGCATACACGTTTTATGGTATTTTCGTATCCTACCGTGAAACAACTTCACGGTAGATTTGAACTAAAATTGAAACTAAACGGATAAAAAAAAACATTAAATTTAACAAGACCCTTGACTGTGAAAGGAAAAAATGACCGATCAAGACTTGAGTCACCTTATTCGGAAACACACTAGAAGAATCTCAAAGACTGTTTCTGCGTATCTACTCTCCTCTTTTCCAATCAGGTCCTCTTGGACCAAGTAGTTCTCCAATCTTCCATAGGAAGATCTGAGAATGTGGAGCTCCTCTCAACCCAGACCCGCTCTGTCCTGGTCATTATTTTCCCCAACCCAAACCACTTCAAGTAGATTTCGGATCAAACACAAGATGCAATTTTGAATACATCTTGCAATCCCTACTTCTATTGTTTCCAATAGCTTATCTAACTGATAGAGGGTGAAATTGAAGAGAAATTTGGAGGTCGTACTATTTGGGTGCTTGAAATTTATCTAAAATCATGACTAAAAAAATCATCCAATACCTCGCTTAAAATTATAGCATACTTTTTATCTAAATATCCGATCATATTTGTCTTATATGCATAATTGAACTTTAAATCAAATTTAACAAAGAAAATAACGTAATATATCCAACTCTTAATATGCAAAATTAGCAAACATAAACCCACTTTAATCTAATACTTAATTACAAATAAGTAAACCAGAATAAGATGCTTGTATTAAACACGCAACTAAAAATAAGTAATTTCAAATCCAATGTGACTCCATATCTCAATTCTCTGGTTCAGAAACAAACCCATGAGAAAATAAGACAAACAAGAAGAGAACCTTCTACCCACTTTCTAATAACGATGCAGAATATCTGACTCCCTCTATTTAATCACAGTAACAGACATAAAAACCAAAGTGCTAAATAGCTGATTTTTTTGTCCCCGAATTGCTAAATTGCTAAAGTAGGAAAGGAGAATTATAAGAGACAAAAAAAAAAAAAAAAAACCAAATTCTAGGCTGTGCTCTCCTTTTTGAGTTTGGCAAGCTCCTGCCTGATAATTCCACCCCTCTGCACCAATATTTAAAAACACATATTCAGTTGCAAATTGCATAATCATACAAAAAGTTAGGGCAGTGACAGAGGAGACTAATAACGCCAGCTATGAAGTCTACACTGTTGATTCAGCACAGCCATGCGAAGTTAGGCAGGGTAAAGAACAGTAGAAGAATAGTTCAAATGAATACTGTTGGTTTGTGTAAAAACATGCACAAACACATGCATACAGGAGCTCGGATCATTACTTACCTTGATCTTTGCCAACATGACCTTGAACCTATCAAAATCAGTGAGTGAGGCCCTTCTTTTCTGCACAATCAGTTTCCTGCCCCAGGAACTTTTCTCCCATTTACCCTGAACATCTGCAAGCAGTTCAATTTTCCTTTTAAGTAAATGATCCAAAAAAACACCTCAAATATTTTGTTTTCTACACATTACATACCAGCCTTCTGCATGGCTTCAATTAGAGCCTTCTTTTTTGGAACCCTGTTAATGTCAATCTTAATATCAGTGAGTGATAGCCTTTTGAAGTTCATTTGGCTTCTCACCATATCAGGGGCATCAACAAGAGCCTGTAGGACATAGGTGAAAAGGACACATTAAATTTGACCAAGATACAGAATGCAAATTTCTTTCCAACATACCGGCTTGCTTACAACAGTACATGTTATGTATTCCTTGCAAAAAATGGAACTTGGTCATTCTATTTTGCCTATATTTTGTTCTCTAAGAATTTTAAAATTACAGCAATTGAGGATTAAATAAGACAATCAAATTATTTTATTTAAACTATTCAGATGATTACAACAAACTCAAGTATTATGTCTTGAAGTCATTTTTTATGGCACTTGAGTAAGAAAAATAAGAACTTCTGCTGTTTCTCTAAAAAATGATGAAAATTTATACTTTGAAAAATTTCGTAAGTTCATGACAAATTGTAAACAGAAACTCTTAGAACTCAAAAGCATCGCGACACATAGACTGAAAACTAAATTAGTAATTTTCTCTTTTATACATGTAAAAGTTCTGAGTCTGGCAAACATGAAGTACAGTTTTTTTAAATAAACTAACATGAAGTACAATTACAGAGTGATATTGCAAAACACTAGCCTACTATGATTTTCTATATATTTTTCACCAAGTAAAAAATGGAACTGCATTTTATCGAACCAAAAGAATTAAGAGATTGAAAAGATACTTCACCGTTAAACGACCGTTAGTGCAATTCATGGAACGCATTTCAAGCAATTTTAAACAACATAATCAGAGGCCAATTTCATTGTATGCAAACACGATATTGTTTATTCAGGATCAAGCAAACGACTGGAAACATAGAACACGAACCAAGACAGGTATTTAAAAACTACATTTTGGAGCAAGCAGAAAAATAATAAACGAAAAAGTTGACTAATACAGGAAAAAAGATATAAGTATGTAAATACCCTGTTTTGATCGATAACATCAACGATAACAACGAGCCTCCCATATTCCTTGCCGTAGTTCACCAGCGCCACTCTTCCAATCTCCACGTATCTCTTGAACGGCTACACGTAAAGAAAAAAAATCACTCAAAGTTCGAAGAACAACCAGCAACAGTTTCCATCAAATTGAAATAACTTCTCTACTGGTCTATGGGAAAATGAAGGAAAATCAGGAAAACGAATCTAAAAAAAGGGAGATTAGAATTTTCTCGGCGTCCAAACAAAAGCAACGTAGACCTCTTACCATCTCTGAGGATCTGGGGAGAGCTCTGGTACGAAGAGGAGAGAGGAGGATGCGGCAAGAAGCTGGAAGAGAGAGCAATACTTCGGAAGAGAAAAGAAATACAGTGATACTAGGGTTTCCTTTTCCACCAGGGTGAAGATCTTGTACACTAGGGTCTAATTGATAAAATGACGTGTCGAATGGCGATTGGTTATTCAACAAATCCAGACATGAGGATACACCTCACGTCTCGTGAATTACAAAACGGCGACGTTGCGAAGTAAATAAAAATGAATAATAATATCATATATACTACTAATTTAATTAATTAAAAAAGTTATTTTTTAATTATTAACATATAACTTAGTAAATAAATAATTATTAAATTAAAATCAGTTTATTTAAATGAATAAATGTGAAAAACAAGGAAGCCACTTATATCCTCGGTAAAAAATATATAAATAAATAAAGGCCTTTTGTTATATAGCCAAGCGAAGATCAAGGAAAAGATACTAGTGTCAACACCAACAGTTAGCCGTTAATCAAATCTACACATCCCATCTCTCTCTGCCATCTTCTTCGCTCTTTCATCTTCAAACTAATAATAATAATAACCCACACAATCCATCTCTCTTTCTTTTCGCCTCTTCCGAGAAACAAACAAGCTCAATGGGGCAAATTCTGTAGCATCTGCAACTTCCTTTTTCTTTTTTCAATGGTGATATAGTCAGATTTCAATTCACCCGCTCCCGAGCAAGGTATCGTATGCAAATACAACTCTAAGCACGCACATGTTCTTGTATTTATCGTAATGGGAATTGGGTGGTCGATTCCATTTCGGGTTCTGTTGGTCTGGATATTTCCTGACGGGAGGGTGGTCGTTCGCTTTCGGGATGATGAGTGCAGGTTTATTATTGATTTAGAAGAACGATTTGGTATTATGTAAAGAATCATAGATTGATTGAGCATTTGGGCTCTGGGAATGTTTTAGTTTGAGGGATCGTAACATTTTGAGGTTATCATCTTTTGGCGTTTGTTGTTTGATGGGCAGTCAGTGGTAACTTTGTGTTTGCTTTCTTCGTGGACGGATGGTCAGTGATAAAATTTAGATGGCTGGTTTCAAGGAAATTGCAGGAACTCTTATGTGGAGAGGTGGAGGGGAGGACTTGGGGGCTTTTTATCCAATCAGACCAGAATGCAAAGCAGATACCCCAAAGACCCGCTTTAAGTCCAGGGTATTTGCACCTTTTTTTCTTCACACGATTTTACCTTCATGCCTGTTCAAGTCATAGTTGTTATCAATATTCAATTGCTCGTTACAGTTTGTTCTTTCTGTCATGTGCATGGCAGTACTCCCTTCAACTTGTGCTTTTTAAATCACGCTATATGCCATTCCTTGAGTTGCAGTGTTTCTGATGTTTGATGCTGTTTTGTATTTCATAGGCTGGGAAAACTCTTAGTGCAAGAAGATGGCATGCTGCATTCTCTGAAGATGGGCATTTGGATATAGCAAAAGTGCTGAGACGAATCCAACGCGGGGTAGGTTTCTTCTTTTAGCTATAGAATTAGATTACTTGTATTTATAGCCGTAACCATCAAGTGTAGGCTCAAACACTCCTGTGAAATTAGTTACCATGCAAGTGAATGAAACTAAAAAGTAAATCACTGTGTTCCTCTTATAAGGGGTACATTCACATTGTACCAAGTATTGTTGTAGTCTGCTGCTAAACTGGACCGTATCCAACTTGGTTTTCCTAAAATAGAGTAATTTAGTTTCATGTATCAAAGAGTGTGCGTGTGTTTGTGTGTGATGGTTTTTGCTCCCTCCTACTTACGAATATATCTGACCAAATGGATAAACTGAGCAAAGAAATAGATTATTTATTTAATTAGATTTTGCCACATAAAAGATTAGACTTCATGAAACCTAGTTGAAGCTAGTAACACAGATCTAAGTTTTTCTAGAACTGGAGGAGGCTCCTTTCTTTCTCTTTTAGTAAATTTTTGGCCTTTCATTTTTTTTAGTATAGATTTATGCATTTCAATAATTGGTTGGTAAGTGCACATCAAATGATAACACAGTCAATTTTCTGACAAGAAAACACCATACAACCTCCGAATGAGGACACATAAGGGACACACTGCTCGAACCTCATAGAGAGGAGTGAAAGTATCGACTAATCAACTAAGAGATAGTTGGTAACTTTAGGCTTTATATTAATGTAAGCAACTGATTGTAAAAAAAAGCATTATTCTTGAACCTTTCTTGGGCTTTATTACTTTTTAGAAAGACACTTTTGTGATTCTGCCACTTCATGCAATCATGTCAGATGATAGGACCATATCTCAAAAACCTCCCAGTATATCCCAGTTTGATGGGATCTCTACTAGGTGGTTTCGCCCTTTTAAATATGCATTGGAGTTCATTTATAACAGCTGCATCTGAACATGAAATACCTTTTTGTTCTCTCATCCTCATCTTATATGATTATGTAGGGTGTTCATCCTTCAATCAAGGGATTAGTCTGGGAGTTCTTGTTAGGCTGCTATGATCCTAGCAGCACGTTTGAAGAACGAAATCAACTCAGGCGATTCAGGAGGTATCATCTTCCCTTGGGTTGTCATTATTTCTCCACTAATTGATCTTTTATTCTACGTGATTCAACTTTATCCTTGTGATTTTCACCTTCTATCATAATCTATTTTTTCTACTGATTGGATACTATGATAGGTTGAGCTATAAAATTTCTTGTTCCAGTTTTCTTGATAAAACATATTTTATCTGTTGTGGTCATAATCTTGAGAACAGATATCCATGGTGAGCATATTGTGTTGTTTGACATTTGGAATCATGTTATGGTCTCAATTTGGTTCTTGTTCTTAACTTTTAAGTGTTGTAGTGTCAACTATGAGGGGCAGTTCAGGTGGCCTATCATGTTTCAATTGCTTCATTTGTTCGCATGGAAACTGGTTTGTCATTTTTCTTTTTGCTGTCCTCTATCGTAGCTCTCTTGTTTATCACTGGAAATTAATATACATAGGGAGAAGTATGGGACATTAAAAGCAAAATGCCAGGAACTGGTTCCTATTCTTGGTAGCGGAAAGTTTCTCATGACACCCGTCATTGCTGATGATGGCCAACCGATACAAGATTCTGGGAAAGATGAGGATATACAAGGTGTAGTATGGCATGTTAAAACTATGGTTTCAGACAGGAAAGTGCTCCAGTGGATGCTTACATTGCATCAAATTGGTAAGCATCTGATTCATATTCTTTTTTCTCCTCTACTGATTGTATTTCTTATTTTCATTCTATTTATTCTCAAGGTCGTACTATTGTTTTTGCTGCTTCCTAGATGAGCTGTGCCACAATTGATACAGTATTGTAGATAATAGATAGCATTATGAAAGAAAAAAATGCTTAACCAGAAAGTTTGCTTGCTCTATCTTTTTTCCTGTGTCTCAGTTTCTAAATATCATTTGCTTACAATGATAAAATTTGTGTCATAGGCTTGGATGTTAATCGTACAGATCGAGCTCTTGAATTTTATGAGAATGAAACAAATCAGGCAAGACTTTGGGATGTGCTTGCTGTTTATTCCTGGATGGATGATGAAATTAGTTATGTTCAAGGTGAATGCATGCTGTTAAATAATTTATTGCCAAAATGAAATATTTGGACTTTAAATACTTATTATGGTCCTCTTTCTCAAGCAGGAATGAATGATATTTGCTCTCCAATGATAATTCTTCTTGAAAATGAAGCAGATGCCTTCTGGTGTTTTGAGCGCACAATGCGAAGACTGGTATGTTACAAATGTCATGACATCCTAGTTTATGCTATAGATATGCTAGAAGGATGCCAAAACAGTTAAGGTCAATTTTCATTCCATTCCTAACATAATTTCTAGTTCTAATTCATATTTGCAACATAATTTCTCATGTTCAAGCTATCCCGAACCCCTCTTTAAATTCTTTGGTAATAGGAATTTATTAGCTAGAAATGGAATGTAAATTGAGGAAAATGAAACCTATATTGTTCCTTGTTCATATGGATGGTGATTCTGTTTCTTTTTGCTGATGATTTTAGATGAAGGCATAAATAAGATTCTTATCTTGCCTCATCAAACACATGATTCTGGCTTTTAAGGCACCTAGAATTGTTTATATACTGAGAGAACCTATCAAATGCTAGCAGCAGGGTTGCTGCTAGCATTGAATAACCAGTGTTCCTTTTTTTTCCCTCTAAAAACATTGGCTGGTTGTTGATTTTCAGAGTAGTTATGGTTGCAACAATGTTTCTGATATACCTGACTTGCCCAAATGTTTAGGCATGCCAGAGCTCCTAAATGTAGAAGACAGTGTAATTGTTCCTTATTATACACATCATCAGCAAATAATAGAGTTGCAGTTATTCATAGGTAGCTTTCTGAATAGTTGCCATTTTGAGGAAGATAGGTTTATATCATCAAATGAATCTGTAGGTTCTATGGATTTTATACTTACATTCCATATTATTCACCAAAGTTATAACTATTCTGGGCTTCTCTTTGAGGAAACTTTGATCTTTAGGTTCTAGCATCCAAACTTGTTGTGAGTTTAAAAATATCAAATTTCATAATTGAAGTCCATGCTAAACTGCATCTTGGTATGTACTTTTTCAATCAGCTACTTCACCTCTGATTCATGGACCTAAATTATGTCTATTTTGGATTTCTCTGTGAAGAGGCTTTTTTATTCTTTGGGTTATAGCATACCGAAGTTTATGTGTGTCTCCAAATATAAAATCTAGGAATTGAAGTCCATGCTAAACTGCATCTTGGATGTATGTTTTCAATTATCTGATGATCTCTTATTCATTGTCTACAAAATTCTGCTTGAGGGATATCCAGAATTTTGGAGTTCATTTGTGAACGTTTGACTGGCAACCTGTGAGATGTAAATCATAGTTCAAATGAGTTTATGGCTTGTCAATTACGATTCTTGTGACAGATTCAAGAGATCGGATAGTGATTATGTTAGAATAGTAATCCCAGCTTCCACCTCCATTATCAGATAACTGATTGTTTTCTCCTCTAGGAAAATGTTGTGACACCCTAATATCTTCTATGTTTGATTTCTTTACTTATTATGTGTTGGAATGATGATTGCAATAATTCCAAAGCTGTAGACTTTGAGTGCACAAGACTGATGTCCTTTCCTCCCTAAATGATCTTTTACAATAATTAACAGTTAGGTGCTTGTGCCCTGAATATGTAACTTACACTTCTTCATTTTGGCATAACAGAGGGAAAACTTTAGATGCAGCACAAGCTCAATAGGTGTACAAACCCAACTTAGTACCCTCTCGCAAATAATTAGAACAATTGATCCAAAGCTTCATCAACATCTTGGTATGTGTTTTCTTTGTATTATTTTCTCATCTTTTATGCTTTAATTCCAACTGGACAAGAAACGATGAAAATTATTAAAAAGAAGTTTCTTGATTTCTTCTTAAAGTAGCATTTTGCAGTTCACATATCAAATGGAAAATTTTGACCTAGATCTTTGGATTTTACTTGTCTAGATTAATTTAAAATAAGGTTTCCCTTGTCTTCTTTTTGTTGAATGTTCATATGTTTATTGAACTATTTACAAAATTTTTTTACTTAATATATATTTTTTCCCTTTTCTATGCACAAACTTTAACAATTTCTAAGCAAAGGTTTAATTGCTTGGGAAATTTACACCTGCTGTTAGGAATATATTCTCTTAGCTTGCATGCCATTGCAGTCATGTACTAAATTTAAACTTGTTATTTTATGTACAGAAAAGTTTGTCACATGTTCGTTATCAAGTTCATTTTTTGCTATGAAGTCTTATAGTCATAAACAGAATTTTAAGTCAGAAGTTTGGCTGAAATATTTCATGAGATTTCCATGAGTTTAATGCACTCTAATTCTTATTTCAAGAATATTTTGTGGTTGTTGGTAGATTCACAGAAACACGATTTAAGTACTCATTAATTATGATTACAAAGTTATTCTGGTTTGTCATGGCTGCAATATCAGAAAAACATTTATGCCATAAGGAGATTGCTATGCTAAAAACATTTATGCTAAAAATTTCAACTTAAACACTCAAGTACGTCAAATGTTTTAGCACAGCAATCTCCTTATCATTTATGCCATGAGTAGTAAGTTGAAGTTTTTAGCATAGCAATCTCCTTATGTTTTGTCCTCATGTTCGGGTTCTTTCCTTTCCTTAGTATAGCATATATATAGACAATTTCATTTGCTTTTATCTGGCAGAGGATCTTGATGGTGGTGAATATCTGTTTGCATTTCGGATGCTGATGGTACTTTTCCGAAGAGAATTCTCCTTTGTTGATGCACTGTATCTTTGGGAGGTAAGGAGAGAGTATTGCACTCACTTGAGTCATCTTGATCTCTGGCAGAGTTTAGTGTTTGTTAATCTTATTTACACTGTTCTGAAAAAATAATTTACATAAAAAATATGTTGTCTAAATAAAAATGTGAATTTCCAAATTAATTTTACTTGGTGGAATTAGAAGTTGAGTGAGATTGATGGAATTGCAAGTTGATTTGTATGATCCAGACATATATACATACAATTTGGGCACAAGCTGGCCAGAATTTTATTAGTTTGTTGGAGCATGCATTCTGTACATTTTTTTCCTTTCCTGCAATAAGCTTATACTAAGACAGCAAGATAGATTGTTTTCAGCTGATGTGGGCAATGGAGTACAACCCAAACATCTTCGCAACATATGAGGAACCAGAGAAGAGTACTGCCACTGCACCTGAATTAAATGATAAGCATCTGAAGCAATGTGGAAAATTTGAAAGAAAGTATGTGAAGACTGGGAGTACAGAGGAGCACAGTGCACTTGCTGTTTTTGTTGTTGCAAGTGTTCTCGAGACAAAGAATAAGCAACTTTTAAGGGACGCCAAGGGTCTAGATGATGTTGTGCAGGTCTTTCCTCTCTCTCTCTCTCTCTCTCCCCCCCCCACCACCCCCCCCAAATCTTACACAAGCAGCACGCATTGCACACGTGTTGCAGCCACCAGCATTCATCTTTTGTGTTTCGTTTTCAGATATTGGGGAACATCACAGGCAATCTAGATGCTAAAAAGGCATGTAAAGAGGCACTGAAGATTCATGACAAGTACTTGAGAAGGGTAATCTTCTATTCTATTTTCTTATGGCTTCTTGTGCTCCACTGTGTTGATAATTTCACCCTCTTTCTCTCTCTCTCTCTCTCTCTCTCTCTCTCTCTGAAGACATACATATAACTCCTGCAAAAGGAATATGTGCAATTTAATCATTTGAGAAAAGAACACAATTTCACTCATGTCTAATATATGTTCATTTTGTTTCTAACAAGCAGGATATTTGTATATTATTCGTATGTCAGTTTCGCAATTTTTGTTGTTTTGGATGGCATTGCTCACGGCTTATAGCTATTGATGTTTGCAGGCCAAGAAGTAAGAGATTGCTTTGGGGAGTTACCTACCTGTAATCCAATTTTGGCTTGAAATTTTGATCTAATTTTTTGCTTGAGATCGACATGTATTTTTATTAGAATTCTGTGTCAGAGTTGTTTGTAGAATTGGCAACAGGTGCAATTTACTGAGGGTTTCCCATGGCAGATGTTTTGTTTTCAAATCTTCTTTTGCCTTCATCGATGTTTTTCGATTGAATTATATATATAATTTCGTTAAAATAATTAAATATAAAATCCAAAAACTTGAAGGCCTGGTTTTTTTACCATCAAATTTTTATTTTCATACTCAAAACTTAAAATTTATATGTAATGTAATAAGAGGAGGTCGTGATGGGAATTAGAGATAAGGTTAAAAAATATTTGATGGACAAGGCACCATATATGGTTTTCAACTATTGTTCTTAAAAGATAATATGAAATTATAAAATTAAACTGAAAATCAAGATGTTATAAGATGTGAAAATTTATAAGTTGACAATAAAATGCATAAATTATAGTTACGATTAGATATTGGTTCAAATTTAATCTTACAATTAAGTCTTTAAAGCTTCAAAAATCTTTCGAGCAAAACTTCTATATTAAATTTAAGAGTTAAGGGTATCGCATATATAAATTGTTTCTTAATTTAGAACGTTCACGACGATTTTTTAATTTTTTTTTTTTATAACAAAAAAAAAGTGGAGAGAGAAGAAAATGAAAATTAGTTGTTAGGTGGTTGTAGAATACAACCAGAGAGTTTTGAGACTAAAATTTGACTTAACAAATACATGCCTTATAATTTCTGTAGAAAAAACATAACCAACCATCAATTATGAGAAAGACGAAGCACAGCCTTTGATAATCATAACAGAGAGCTATTTAAGAAAAATGAAGTTTCTAATTTTAGTTTCCTTTTTTAGAAGAAGAAAGAATTCACCATCATCGTCATCTCTATCCTCCAATTTTTAATTTAATTTAATTTAATTACACCTAAATTTTCGATCCTTTTCTTTTTTTTTTTTTTTGGGTGTTTGATTATTGGCCGATTAAACCAGATGCTTTGCCACCAAATTAACGAAACTCTTGCTTTAAACATCATTTTTCCTTCACTAATTCTTTCCTAATTTTCTCACAATGACTCTTTTTCCACTAATCATTTTCATTTCATCTTCTTTTTTCCTCCACTAATTATTAAAACCACTTCTTCTTCTTCTTCTTCTTCTTCTTCTTCTTCTTGGGTATATTCAAATCCATTTGTTTTCTGAATTCAACATGACTTGCTGCATTTTTTTTTATATTGCAGCCTGGTTTGTATTGAAGGTACACACACACACACATATATATATATACACACGTATATGAAATGTTTATTAGAGAAACTATATATTGTATAGCTCTAATAATTTTATTTATTTTCTTTTCTTTTCTTTTGGTTTCTCCAGAACTTCTAATATTCAAGGGGAAAGAAATCATGTCAAAAACATCTGATAAAATGTCAAACAATAAGATGAAGGGACTCTTAAAGGGTCTCAGATACATCTCTCAAATATTTGGTGATGTCATTTACTCCATCACTTTCTAATTATAATCTTTAATTACTTCATTAATTAGTTATTTATTAATAAGAGAAATTAATGTGACTTGATTTGCAGATAATGAAAAAGAGCCTGAAATGCAGATTGGTTATCCCACAGATGTAAAGCACGTCGCCCATATAGGATGGGATGGACCCTCTGTTAACTCACCAAGCTGGGTATACCCCTTTCTTTTTAAAAAGGGAAAAACAGTTCAAAACCTGATTACAGGGCTGATTAATTAATTTAATTATTTATTATTATTTTTCAGATGAATGAGTTTAAGGGACCATTAGATAGTGCTCCCAAGGATGATGCTTCTGAAGGTATGATATGTTGATGTTTTCTTCACTTTTATCTTCATTATCAAATAATTGATCACATTACATGCTTTGCTTCGAAATGTTTGGCGTAGATTCAAGCCGAAAAAACACAACCTTGCAGTATTCTCCAGGCCGAGATTTCCCAGCATTGCCTAAATCTACAAGACATCGCACGGTATCAGATGGTGCGGCATCTAACTCGCCTACTAAGGAAAAATCGGATAAACCTAGGCAATCAAGACGATCCTCAAAGCAATCGATTAAGGAATTATCGGAAGGAAGCACCAGATCATCCAGAAGAGTCAAGGAAGCATCATGCCAAGGCATTGACTCTCCCTCTCGCCACAGCCTTCCTGACATCCCCAAAAAATCTAGGCGGAAGAAATCTGACTCAGTTGGAGGTGGATCTACAAGATCATCCCGGCGAGCTCATGCATCCGACTCGGACCAAGTTCCAGACACAGTGTCAGAACCCGGATCCATATCAATCCACAATGGCGAAGACAACTGTCTAAGCTCAAGTCTAGATGGTTATGGAAGAGAGGAAAGGGGATCAGTAGAGTTTCTTGAGATAAGTTGGTTTCATTTCTTTTGATTTGTTATAATGGTTAGATAGAATGTTTGTAATAGTAAGCCAATACTCCATTTTTCTACCTTGGTTATGTTTAAAAGAACCTTTCTCCCAGCTTTAATTCATTTATATGCACCAATACTCATCAAGTCTGTTCGTTTGAAGGTTATCCTAGTTTGGATTTTCTTTATTGCTATTTTCAATCTCTGATTCAACCACGAATACCCTGTTTTTGCAAAAATCCCTTACACCCTTTGGTAGCCCAATAAAACTTACCAAGAGCAAAATAAAAAAAAAAAATGATCATGCGCATTGTATTGCGGTAAGAAATTAAGATAAGAAGAAAATTCGCAGTGAACAGTGAATAAAACAACTTGGGTTGAAACCCAAAATTCAAAGAAACATTGCAAATTAAACAAATACTTTAACTCTATTAACTCAGAGATAAGAAGGGAAACTATGTATGCAATTGTCATTTAGCAAAAACCATAAATTTACATTTTTTCCCCTAACCCAGTAAAAAAAAGTAAGCTGAACACCCAAAATCAAAATCCTATTCCAAAGTGTTACCTGTTGTTCTTCTCTGTTAGTAAAACCATAGGTTTTCTTTATTCATCCTCTAATTCCTGGTCAATAGTCAAGCAAAAATCCCAATAACAATCAAAATGACATGACAAGTAGGTAATAGAAGCCCTGAATGATGAGAAGAAGAAGATTAGAAACCCATAACACAGGATTTAGAGTACCTGTGTTGTTGCAGAGTTTGAATTGCTCTAGTCTGCTGTTACCCTTTTTGGGAAAGTTCTGTTTCTCGTCAAAACACAGGCCTGGATTCCCGCTTAGCTTCAATTTCTCCCCAATTCTAGTTCTGAATTGTGCTGAAAACGGTATCCTCCCACTCAGATTGTTGTTCTCCAAATTGATTTCATTGGCATTTTTCAACAATCCAAGCTCCTCTGGTACTTGCCCTTCAAGCTTGTTGTTGTCAAGTCTCAGGTAACAGAGATTTCTCAAATGCATTCCCATCGATGCCGGAATACTCCCAACAAGTCCCATGTTCGAAAACCCAATTCCCAAAATGCCCCCAAGGTTTTCCCAAATTCTCGGGATTTGTCCACCAAGGGAATTTCCACTCAAATACACGTCTCTCAATCTAGGCATATCTGCCAAAAACAGAGGCACTCCATAGTTCCCGAAGCGATTAAAGCTCAGATCCAGAAACTCCAAACTCTGCAATCTCCCCAAGCTATCTGGGATTTCCCCAGAAAATCCATTGAAGCTCAAGTCAAGCTTCAGAAGCTCCGTGAGATTACCTATGGATACAGGGACATTTCTGTCAAGTCCGTTGTAGCTCAAATCGAGAATCCTTAGCTTTTCCAACTTGGTCAAATTCAAGGGAACCCCACCACTAAGCCTGTTCCTTGACAGTGAAATCTCTTGGAGACTAACCAAATCACCAACACTCTCTGGGATATTTCCAGAAACCCCGGTCCCGGACAAAACTAGCCTCCTTAAGTTGGTGAAATTACCGATGATACGATCGACAGGTCCAATCAAAGCTGGATTCTCGATGAACACTAGTTCCTCGAGACTCGAACCGAAACCCGATGGAATATTGGGTAGCGAAGCAGGCGTTTCGGTGAAGCATTTATAGAAGAAGATCTTGCGTAGGTACTTGAAGGAGGTAAAAATGAGTGGGTTGAGGGTGGAGTTTGGGGAGCAAGGCGGGTTATCTGAGTAGTCCGAGACGTACCCGAAGCTAAGCTCGGTAACGTGAACGGAATCGGGTTGGGATGAAACGGCGTCGGATTGGTTGGAGAAGTCGTCGCAAACGACGCCGTGCGGGGCGGAGGAGCAAAAGTCATCCGGGAAAATGGAGCGCCAAGGAATGGATGGGTTAATGGAGTGGAGAACCTCGTAGAGCGAGTCTTGCTCGGCCGAGTCGAGAACCAATTGTCGCTGGCCCGAGACCAGAAAGACCGAAGCGAAGAAAGAGAAGAATGAAAAGGCAAAAATGGGAGAAGAGGAGCAACAGAGAGGAGCCATGAGCAGAGTGGCAAACTCCACTGAAAGTATACGTGGTTGAAAAGTTGATGAAGCTTCACTCCGGGTTTGTTTTAGATGTGAGTATAAATAACAACGTAGCTTTCTCTGTTCTGTTCTTACCGAACGAACGAGTATGAGCAGGACAGGAGAAAAGAGAGAAGAAGGACGACAGAGACGAAAGAGATAATACCAGAGTTTTGGCCTTGGAATGGTGAAAGAGAGGGAAGATTAACTGAGTCCACTCTGTCCTGAAACAACAATACTTTTCTGCTTTTGCTGGTTGGTTAAACTTTGTTTGGTTCAGCATCTTCTCTCTCAATCTTCTGTTTTGCTGGCTGGTATTAGCTTGCGCGAGATATAAATTTACCATAATACCCCTGTATTAACGTATCTTCATTCTGTGTAATTAAGGTTAATAATTAAGGGCATTTCGGACTTTACATCATGAACAGTACAGCTTCCCAACACCCAACTCGTTGCATGGAAAAAGACCAGTTTAAGAACCAGATCGGACCGCCAGAAATAGTACTAAAGTTAAAAAAAATACGTACAAAACGATGCGTTTTAAAGTCCAACTAATAATAAACCTCGAACAAGTTCCCTGAGAATGAAGTAAAAAGAGAACGAGCTTTAAGGCGCCTCAAAAAGGCTGGGTTTGGTTGGTGGCGTACGTTCCAGTAAGTATGAGACAAAACATGAAACCAGCGGACAGAAGTGGCAGCTGCAGGAAGCCGACAGAAACGCGCCGCAGCAGCCGACTTACTGTCTCCAATGTCCTACGATAGCGACGTCTAACAGAAGCACCACTAGCCACATATATCTCCGACACGTGTCCGATAATATAGCCGAGAACCGACACGTGGCAGGAGTGTACGGAATACTGTTTGCGCAAATTTGGACAGAGATCACAGCGCATGCGAATTTCGTTCCTCTCCGGGTCGTTAACCGCCAACCAATAGCATTACGCTAAAAAATACATCGGATTCTGTGCGGGGCCCACTTAAATTACCTCTCCGAATAATTTTTTTTTTTTTTTACAAAATTTGACACATTATTATTATTTTTTTTAATAATAATTGTACTCGGACATTTATAATCGAAAGCAAACTAGAAAGTATACGTTAAAATGGGTAAGATACAAAAATCATTAATGTCGTTGATTGGAGATACAAAAATTTTGCCCATCATTTTATACCCATTGAAGAAGAATGATACCAGATGTTCCTTTAAATTCCTCGATGACTCTTATAAAATATGCCAATGATTCATAAAAGCATGCAAAATGGTAGGTCACTTTCTTCAATTTTAGCTCAAATTGGTACCCACTATATCGACTAGCTTTTCTCTTTATTTAGTGCTAGATTTGAACATTATTATCATAAATTTGTACTTATATCATATTACATTATGTAATTCAATTGTATTTATCTAAAACTCATATTTTCCATATTAGTATTCAAGGGGGGCAATTTGTTTGGGAGGTAGCATGTGACTTTATTTTAACTTTTGATAATGTTATGGAAATGCTTAATTCACGGGCAAACACCTAGTTTTTTAAATATTATTAAATTAATTTTTAAAATTTAACATTTATTTTAATATTTTATCTTCATAATTTAATTATTAACATTATTTATTTATTTCAACGTCAGTTTTTTTATTTTTAATGTCAAAAATTAAAATAATTAATTAAAATTATGATGACTTGATATAAATTATTAAGTTAAAATTTGATTATATCTTTAATAATCGGTAAAATAAAATATGTAAGATTTTTTTCCTTGGGGAAATGAACTATAAAAGATTGAATATATATATATATATATATATGGAGTTGCTCAATCACCCTTGTAAAATCCCGTGTAATTTGGTCCTTCAAATAACGACGCCGTTTCTTGTTTATTTATTTATTTCGCTTTGGTATTCCCCGAAAAAATATAATTTTAAACTGTGGGCCACTTACGCGCGTTTCTTAACGGTGCTGTATTCTGTTTTTAGGCGGCGGGGCATTCGTCGAAGTCTCCTGTTTGAACTGAGCCGAATCCCTAGCTCTGGGAGGCAGTAAATTGACGTTCTATTTTTTTCTTTTTCTTTCCCAAGTTAAAAATCGAAGATTGAAAGAGAGCTAGCGAGTGAGAGTTTTTTTTTTTTTTTTCAAATAAAATCGAAGAAAAACGTCAGATCAAAAATGGCGACGCCTGGTTTGTATAGGCGACTTCTTCCGTCTCCTCCAGCAATCGATTTCGCTTCCTCCGAAGGGAAGGTGATCCACTCTCTACTCTTTTCATCTGCAAATTGATGGATTCTAGGGTTTTAGTTCTATCAATTGGTTTCAAGTAGTTTAGTTTTTTTTTTTCGGGGGAGAGTTTTGGACTTCGTGTTGTAAGACAGTGCGATCCGACGAGGTTGATATTTTAGTTTTTCGTATTTTCTGTGCATTAGTTTGTATAAGATTGTTTGAGATGTTTGAATTAGAACGGATATCAGCAGATAGGGACACTCAAGAGTGTTTTTTTTTTCTTTTTTTTAAATTCTAAATTGGTATATGTTTGTGTAATGAAGTTCTAAATGGGCAGTGATTCGAGTTCAGATTAAAAACTTAGTCTATTCCTAGAACAAATTATTCTTTTTGAAGTTCAATTATGAGTGGTTGGAAGTCCTATTGCCGTAAGATGAAAATTGAACTCGTGGAGAATTTGAAGTAAAATTTTTACTGTTGAAGAACTAAGCATGGATTTTTCAAAGATACTTTTCGAATCCCTTATTTTTAGTATCTGATGCAGATCAGGCATAAAGTGGCCTTAGATATTATTATTTTTGGATTATTTTATGATATCCAGCCAGGAGCATTCAACTGCTTTTGTGTTTTGTCTTGCAGCAACTTTTCATCGAGGCAATTCAAGATGGTACAATGGAAGGCTTTTATAGGTTAATTTCATTCTTTCAGACGCAATCCGAGCCTGCATATTGTGGATTGGCCAGCCTTTCCATGGTCTTGAATGCCCTTGCTATTGACCCTGGAAGAAAATGGAAAGGTCTACTCAAATACTCTTTTATTGGTCACCTGAAGCAATTTTTCTTATGAATTATTCTAAAGTACAATATTTGTATACCCGTAGTGGAAGTGATTTTTCTTATAACTTAACCTAATAAGTAGGTACAAATTTAGCATAATTTTTTTTAATAGTCTTTCGACAACTGATTTGTCAAAAGATGGAAATCTTTTCCAATGGAAAATGCCACAGGCCTCTGATAATTTTCTACGTAATTTCTCAGAGATGTCTAAATGCACGCATTTGGATGCAACTTTTTTTTTACAAGCATAACTTCATGACCTTATTTTATATTGTTAATGCTGTTAATGTTCCATCCAGTTTTTGGTTTTGGAATTATTTGGTGTTTTCAGTATTTGACTTCTGTTGTTTAATTGATAGCTCTTTTTTTGGAGAGAACAACAGAGGGAAATATCATAGATAGAGCACCAAAAGAGGTATCCATATATACAAAATATCTGTGATGATTCAAAGGAAAAATATCCATTGAGATCTACAAAATCAACCCCATCATTAAAAGAGTGCCTCTTAAACAAAATATAAAGTGATCTAAGCAAATTATCTCGGACCCAGACAGACTCTTTAGTTGATCACTGTTACCCCAACAGACTATGTAAGACGTGTTTGTCAATACTTGCTGTGTCTTGGAATAACAATCATCTTTCTTCGATCCCAAGGCAAAGATATGGCATATCTATTCAGGCTGCATTTCTTTTAACTTAGCTATTCAGGTTTGATTAACAAAAATTACTGTTGCTTTAATTTAATACAAATTAAGTAATGAGAAAATTTACCTTTATTACATTTTAAATAACCAACCATCCACACTCACCATCAGCACTAGTTGACCACTACCACTGTCAACACCGCCAGTCACCAACCATTACTGCAGCCAACTGGACTTGTTATCTGGCAAGCACTGCTAGCAATTGGCTATGACCAGATGTTTATTGGGATTGCAGCCAATCGTCAGTTGTGAGTTGTAACTTGTGTGGTGGTTGTTTATTAATCTTATTAAACTATATTTTATATATTTCATTATTAAAAAGAAAATCTTCATATACTTCCATGTTATAGGTTGATAATATTTAGAATTTTAAAAGAAACAGTTTGGGTGACTTATTTCTTTACTTTTTTTTTTTTCTTTCAGTAACTTCAAACCTGTGAAATTTATCTATCTAAATATAATTAATAAAGTTACAGTAAGAAAAGCTCGAACTTCATTACATAAATGCAGTTCAGGCAAATGGTACCTTGGATTTTTAGTTGCTTTGAAAATGATTTCTAGAATTCTTTTTTCTCTTAACTAGAAATGGTTGTAAATCTATCTGGTAGGACCTTGGAGGTGGTTTGATGAATCAATGTTGGACTGTTGTGAGCCTCTAGAAAAAGTTAAGGAGAAGGGTATTTCCTTTGGCAAACTTGTATGTTTAGCTCATTGTGCTGGAGCAAAAGTTGAAGCTTTCCGCACAAATCACAGTACCATAGATAATTTCCGTAGTCACGTGCTGAGATGTTCCATTTCTGATGACTGCCATGTGATCTCATCTTATCATAGAGGAACATTTAAGCAGGTATCAACAAATTTAAACTGCTTTGGATTTTGCCGTATCTCTTTCTTGTTTATATTTGTCAGTTTGCATGTTGGTTCTCATGCTTTTTCCTGGTTGACAATAGTTTTTCTCATTATCCATTTAATTGGGTTTATGCAACGGTTCTGTTTATTGCAACTTAGGCAAAAGGTTTAACTTCAGAAGCTTATGGAAAAATTGATCATGCATCATCAACATGTATTTAACATTGATGTCTTGCTGACACTACTGATATGATATCGGTAATTTGATGCACTGAAAGCTAATTTGGAATATGCCTTACTGTCAAATGGAGTTTTGGATGAGTAAGAGTTTCTTCTTCGATCTTGACTGGGAGGGTAATGGTGGAGATGCTTTCTAAAGTTAAATGGTTTCACTGCTAAATTAAAAAAAAAAAGAATATAACTCTCTTGTATCGCGAATTTTTATTGGAAGTATTGCTGGACCCTTCTGTTTTAACTACTTGTAGCGGGATCAACTATGTGCTTGGCAAATTTTACAAAAGTAAAGAGGTTTTGTTATCTTCTGTCTGTGTAATTGAAAATGTTGATGGGTGTCAATACTGTAAACATATTGCAGACTGGAACTGGTCATTTTTCACCTATTGGTGGTTATCATGCTAAAAGGGACATGGCACTGATTTTGGATGTTGCACGTTTTAAGTATCCTCCACATTGGGTTCCGTTGACTCTTCTTTGGGAAGCTATGGATAGTGTTGATGGAACAACTGAGCAGCGAAGGGGGTAGGTGCTTTTACATGCCTCAAAAAATATTAAAATAATGTACTTGATTAATATTCCAATATGAATGGCATTTTACTCTAAGAAACAGCACTTTCTATGGTTTCATACCATTGAGGTAGTGGTCAATGTTTGAAAAATCTGGTCGGCAATTAACTAATGATTCACCCATGCAAAAATAGTACAATGTCATAAATGTTTTCCATACAACTTTTGATTTTGCTAGGTATACACAAATATTAATGCATCTTGTTTTAGACATCTTTTTTCAAGTGAGTAGACAGCCAAAATTGTTTTTTGATGACGAAAACATACGGAATTCAAGATGAGCCAATTAGCAACACTGTCAATCAAACAACTGATCTACATAACTAGGATTCTAAGATGTGCCACTTTACTGGCTTGTACATGTCCAATTCTTATGGTAGCCTAATAATAGTTAAAGTGTTATCTATTTTAGCTAAAAACCTTAATGAATTGGATTTACTGTTATTGACTGGCTTAACGCATAACAATGGGAATTCTAGCTGTATTTTGTGTAGTAGCTTTTGAACCTACTGCTGAGTACTTTATTTGGTTTGGTTGCTGCAAAATAAGCTTTTGAAAGTAGATTCTCTAATTGGTTTTTTTAGCAGAAAACTTCAGTGAATCAACTGTACTGATGATTGATTAGGCTCTTCTCTTGTCTTTACACATGAAAATGCGAGTCCTACCTGTATCTTATATTTCCAAATCTTGTTTACAGCTGTGACTTATTTGGTTTGCTAGTTCTATATAAGTTTTTGAATGAAGATTCTCTTACCAATGAGGCTTTCTTTTCCTGTAGGTTCATGCTTATATCTAGGCCACACAGAGAGCCCGGAACACTTTATACTCTGGTATGACTAATATTATGGCAATACTGCAACTGTATATGCACATCCTATCAAAGGTTTTGTCTGTTGTCATAATTGCTTCTAAATTTTCTTGGGTTACCAATACATTTTTTCTTCTTTCAGAGAGGATGTTATCCTTAACATTATGTTTGGGTAAAATTGGTGAAGGAATGGAGAAGAAAGGAAAGAAAAAGAGAGAAAAAGAAAATAGTGGTTTTTAAAGGAATAGAAAAGAGAAATATTTCTTTTATTTAGATAACTAAAAATTTTGAGAAGCAAAGGAAAATAGATGATTTTTTTTGTAATATTTCTTTTGGTTTAGTTTATTAAGGAAAGGAAATGATTTGTTATGAGAAAATAATTGATAATGTTTTTTATTAATAGAATAAAAAGTTATGTAGTAAGGAAAAAATATAAAATTTTCTATTTAAAACTTTTAGGTTATTTTCTTTTCCTTCCTTTTTCCCAGTAGGAAAAATGGAGAATCAGATTTTAGGGGAAAGGGAGGGATGCTCTCTGTACCTTCATTCCTTTAACTAATTTTTATATTTAATCCAAACAAGAGAAAGGAGGGTGAGAACATTTTCCTTTCCTTCCTTTTCCCTTCATTTCTCTCAATACGAGTATGGTCTAAGGGGCCAGATACATTTATTCTGCTACTTCCTTTCTACATTATTTGTCTTATTTTGAATTCAGACACAACGAAAAGTATGTCAACAGTGTACGAGAATGGATCTTTATATTTATTTTGCTGCATTATGAACTTCAACTACTCGACATTTGTAGTTTACCTTTCATGTGGAACAGAGTGGACCAAGATGGCAGAACTCACTGCTTTGCTTGTGAAATGACTTGCATGTTAGATGGACTCCTTTATTTTGATTAGTGGTTATTCTGAAAGGGGTCGCGATAGATAAATTCTAAGAATTTCATTCAATTAAAATAATCATACTGCATTTTGAAGCTGGAATAATTAAGTTTTACTACTGATTGGATGGTAAGACTACAATTAGAAAAGTGTCTGTCTGTAAGGTCTTTGTCAATGTCAAATCTTTAGTATATTATCTATATAGATGTCTAACTGATTAACCCTGATTTGCATGCATGATTTGAAGGCTGGATTGGTTGAAACTCTCGGTTGTCCAGATTCTGTGTTCTAATGAAGGATCTCACTTGTGATTTGTTTCTCAGAGCTGTAAGCATGAGAGTTGGGTCAATGTTGCAAAATATCTAATGGATGATGTTCCTTTACTTGTAACGTCAGAGGATGTGAAAGATATTCAAAAAGTCATTTCAATTGTTCTCATGTCACTCCCATCAAAATTTGAAGAGTTTATTAAGTGGGTGGTGGAGGTTCGCAGGCGAGAGGATGGCAATCAGAGTCTAAGCTTAGAAGAGAAAGGAAGACTAACTGTGAAGGTAGTAGAGCTTTACATTCAATTTCTCTTTTTCTTTAAAGAACAAACCACGAGTAGTACGTCTCTCCTCTTTTATGTTTTAGAGTCTGATTGCCTTTTAAAACTATTTACTTACAGGAACAGGTACTGAGACAAGTCCAGGACACAGAACTATATAAGAATGTGGCAGCATTTGTTTCTTCTACGAGTTCATGTTGCAGAAGCAAGTCAAATTTGGGTCACGAAGACAAACTTCCTGATATTGCTGCCAGAGTCTGTTGCCAAGGAGCAGAAATTCTGGCAGGGAAGTACAGCTCTTCTTCACAGTATTGCTGTAAGGAAACATGTGTGAAATGCTTCAAGTATAACGGTGACAAGCCCGTTACATTGGTCTCTGCAACTGTAGTAGATGGTAGCAGTGAGCAGGGGGTTGACATGCTGCTTTCTTCATCTCAAATGAAAATGAATTGTTGTGGCTGTGGCCCAAATAACTTCATTGGTATGTACCCAGCAGGTAGCGATGTACTAACTGCACTTCTGCTTGCCTTGCCTCCCGAAACATGGTCTGGCATAAAAGATGAGAAGCTTGTGCAAGGAATGTATGCTCTTGTTTCAATTGAACATCTTCCCACTTTGCTTCAAGAAGAGGTAATGGCTGTATCTAGCTTCATTGTGAACTTGGTTGATTCGGTGCCATCGGGTGTTTGTCTCAAAACTTTTAAGGAGGTTGGATGAGATATGTTAGTGTATAAATTTTTCCAAAAGAGAAGCATGTTATCTTTTAGTACGTGTGTTTGTGATGCTTGCATCCTTGTAGGGAAATGTTAACTAAGCCTGAGTACTAACTGAACTCGATAATCATCATTAGTGTTTATAGTGGGAAACTGAAACAAGAAATACCTCATGTATACATATTATGTCTTAAGACGCATGTTTGCATGTACATTTAGGTCATCATTTGGATGTATTACGTAATGTTGGTTGTGATTTGGATATTTAGTTAGATATATTGGTAAAATTAGTTCCATAGCTTTTTACCATGCATAGTTTTCCCTGGGGACAATATACATAGCATTGGCCTTAGAAACTGTATCAGGGCCAGTCTTAAGATTTTTGGTGCTCATATATCTATGTGGCAGGTTTTGCATCTAAGGCGTCAGCTCTTCCTTCTCAAAAGATGTCAAGAAAACAAGATGGATGAGGATCTCGGTGCACCCACATGCTAGCCCTTGCTATTCCAGTTTCTTATTTTTCTCGATGGCTTATTCAGATTTGTAAAGCATTATGTATCACTGAATTTATTAACCTGTTGTATTCTCATTTTCTCGACAACCTACTCAGACCTGCAGAGTCTTATGTATCACTCTGGGAAGGCTATTTCTTGCCCTGTTCTCTGTTTGCTTACCGTGAAGACAGACATATGAATTATATGTTGGAGAATAAAATTTCTTCATGAGCATCATCAAATTTATTGAAGCA